CACGAAAATGACGAACTACACAATTAGTAAACACGTTTAAAAAGTTGGTATTATAGTACTAACAAACTTATTTTGACTGTCCCTCTGATATCTTTCGTCCCTCTTTTATGATCTTGTATCATTTGTTGACATCCGTTTTAAGTATATAAATAATGCATTTAATTCCGTTTGCTTCATTCCTGCATAAAGCGTCCTTTTGGCGCCGTCTTTTGACGTTGTGAGTGCCCCTCTGTATTGTGACGTTACCATGGACCATTGACGTTCTACACAATAAACAAGTTTTGTGTGTAGAAGCCATAAATGTCCCTTTGGCAGCAAGAGGGTTAAGTTAAGATTTCCAATCGTAGTACTTATTTATCGTAGCACATGGATGAAAAATCCGTCCGTCGGAACAAATCTTAACTTAAGTAGTTTTTTGCATATCAAGAGGACCATGGAATAAAGGTGCAAAATAAAAACAACAGTAGTGTACCGATATTCGAAATTCATAAATCGATTGAGAAACAAAGCAAATCCGGGTTACAAACTATAACTGAGGGAAACACATCATCAAATATAAGAGGAGAACAACGACACAGCAGAAACACAACACTAAAATGCAACACACACAGAAACGAACTATAATATAACAATGGCCATTTTCCTGACTTGGTACAGGACATTTTAAGAAAAAATTTAGGATGAACCTGGTTTTGTGGCTTTATGAAATTATCACATGTTTTCAAAAAACTAAATTTTCAAAGAATGTATTGTGTGAAACAAACACATAGGTACTTGGGGACAGGACAAATTGTTAAGCCCTCACCCTTTTTCCAAAATCCGTTATTTTTTTGTTTTGTTTTAATTTCAATTATTCCCCCATTTTTCTGTGATATGTTAACATAAATATACTAGAAATAACATGCATTTACTATTTACTATCAATTACTAGTTTACTATCCACAACGGTCATTTATAATATATATAGAGAGAAGGTATCTCACTTCGTATCCAGAAATTTTAACCACATATGTTAAAATGTCTAAGCTTTGAAACGAGCATTCTTAGATATATTAGTTTACGATATGGACAGCGAAATTAATGAAAAAACTACCATTACCGCCTACTTGAAATGAATTGCGCATCTTGATTCAGAAACACAATGTAAGTGTAAAAAAGAGAGATGTAGGGTATATTTGAATCAGCCGTATCACACAAACAAAAACACTCTTCTGTGGATAACACACGTTATTTTCCAAATGACATTCTTGGATTTACACTGAAACAGCATCATAGAAAAAAAAACATTTCTGCCGCTGTTTAATTCAATTGTTTTGAATTGTTTTATGACTACTACCATGAAAAGAGTTTAACACATTGTAATGCAGTGAAAAGATGAATATTAGGAAATGTGAATAATACATCAACGAGACCACAACCTAACGACAAAACAAAACCACAATTATGATATGGGGACAACTCCTTAACTTGTTTTCTTTTTAAATGATATTCAGAAAATCTAGGTTGAAAATCGAAATCCAAATTTTCATTGAATGCCGGAAAAATGAAATCAAACTTCCGCAATGAATCCCTTTATTTTTGGTCTGAAATCAATATATTTTTTTAAAATGTATGATATGATTTTTACATCTCTGGTGTAACAGTTTTCTGTAAAGAAAAAAGAACGCTCATGGAAATATGAGACGTCACTGCATATCACGCCAACTGAAAAATGTATAATTTACATCATTCCATGTACTACTGTTTGTGGAATCTTAGTCTCCAAAGGTACCATCCTCCTCTTATATATTGCCATGATTAACAGCTTGCTGTTCGGTGTGAGAAAAGACTCCGTGTTGAAGGCCATACTTTGACATATAACGGTTTACTTTTAAAAATTGTGACTTGGATGGAGAGTTGTCTCATTGGCACTCATACCACATCTTTTTATATCTATGACAGGTTAATCATAGCAGGATACGATTACCTTGTCGACAAACTTGGTCTCGCTCCTTTTGACGTTCATGTGATTCCCTCAGTATTTTGTTTGTTACTTTGATTCGTATATTTAATTAATTTATGAGATTTGAACACAGGTAAAGTACATGTTGTCTTTTTTACATAATACATAATACATTGAGTCTGAAAATTTCAAGTTCATAAGTTATGTATGTATGCAAAAATTAGGGTTACATTTGTACTTCCTAATGATCAGTTGACTTTAGAGGTTCCATTTAAGCCGTTTTTTTTTTTGCATTCCAAAGCTTTGTCACACACCTATTTAGTGAGGGTTGTTAAAGAAAAACATATACTGTTTACATGGAAACCGTTTTATTATTATACATCGCCATCAACGAAAGGAACATTCGAAATATAGGGGAAAAAGTCGGTCGGTTTTGTTTGATTTTGGTAATAAGCTAATGATAATACCGTGAAAAATTCTAAAGCCTAGAATGAAAAAGACAAAGGTCTGTTTAAACGCAATCTTTAGTAAGAGATATGCAGGTGGACATTATATAAATAACACATAGCTGAGAGGGTGATAGAGCAGATTGTTACCCCGAGAAAACATTGTCAACTGAGGCGAGGCCAAGGTTGACAATGTCTTTTCGAGGGGTAACAATCTGCTCTATCACCCTCTCAGATATGTGTTATCTAATTTATTATACTGAATGTTCTGTTATTACTGTCTATTAAATTTCAAATTCAAAGTAATAAACTATGTCGTCTTGCACATAACAATCATCCGTATTTATTAAAGCGCACACTTGAGCAAGCGTCTCCGTGAAGTGTAATAGAGTATTTGCCATGGATAGAGTAAATTGTCTCCCTCATATTAACCAATCAAAATCTGGCATTTTGACATGAAGTATAATAAGTTTCATATATTTATTTAGGAGAATCGGCCATCCGATTATTAAAATGTAATACCTTTCGTATGAGAACGTCAAGCAATGTTTCGTTGGGTCTGTCTGAAGTTTAACCATTTCCAATTACTGCAATTCACAATTTAATCATACAACAGCACATCAGCCATTAGAGGGAAACAAGGAGTACCATTTGGAATAGCAACAACTTTACATGTACTCACTGTACACCACGAGAATAAATATTATTTTAAGCACAACTTCATGGTTTTTTATCATATCCTTGCACTTCAATCTGTTTAGCCTCGTCTAGAAAGGCAATGTCTCGGATAATCTGTGGTGCTTATGGAGCTTTAACTGCATTCGTTGTTGTTGCTTATACAAGATTTGCTAAAGTATTCTTTATATTACTCGTTATGTCATGTTAATTAAATTTGTTATAAGATTGTGTACTCTACAAACCATTTAAACATGTCTTAGTCTCTGATGCATGATTTTTTATTATTAATTGTTTATGGCTTTTAACTAGCTGTCAGTAACTGCGAGTACTCTCAAATCGTACTTTCTTGTTTATTTGACATGTTGATACTAATTGTAATGCTTTTTTGTTATTTAATGTTATTTAGGGTTATTTAGGGTTATATCTGGTCTATATACCAGCTTTGATAAGTCTTTGGTATTACTATATGTTTTCACTTCTTCGTACTATGAACATCAAAATTATTTATTTCCTTTCTCTATTTGAAATGTACACGTATACCTAACAACAAAATTATTTCCATTTACCTGTGTTTAAGGTAATTGCAAATGGCTGATATTTTTGTTCAGGCATATTGTTTTTCTTAAATTGTTTAACATTTCACAGCGGTATAACATGTAACTTTTATTATTCTTCCCTTAGTTTATTTATTTTGTATTTGCATTGTATCATAGACCAAATTTATTTTTTCAGTGTATGTTCACTGGTGTTAATATGTCTTTTGATTGAGTCAAGCCATTTCAATTGATATTTTATAGTGTGTCTTTCTATGTTGTGATGTTACACAATTGTTTCAGATAAGGGTGAAGGTTTGGTACCATTTAAAACGTTTAAACACGCTGCAATTGTTTGCACCTGTCCTAAGTCAGGAATCTGATGTTCAGTAGTTGTCGTTTGTTAACGTGGTTCATAAGTGTTTCTCGTTTCTCGTTTTTTATATAGATTAGACTGTTGGTTTGCCCGTTTGAATGGTTTTTACGCTAGTAATTTTTGGGGCCCTTTATTGCTTGCTGTTCGGTGTGAGCCAAGGCTCCGTGTTGAAGACCGTACTTTGACCTATAATGGTTTTCTTTTATAAATTTTGACTTGGATGGAGAGTTGTCTCATTGGCACTCATACCACATCTTCTTATATCTACTTAGTGTTTTTGTTATTTGGAGAATTTGGTGTCGATGGTAGATTATTTTAATATCTCTGTTTCATTCAGTTAAGACTTCTCCTTATCCCAATGACGATTTAAAGCTGACATTTTGTAGACGAATGTTTATTATTGAATCTGTAGGTGTCTTTTTCTTATAAATTTGTGTCGTTGGATTTCTTTCACTTTGACGTATACCTAACATTTTTTTTTTATTCATATGAAACAGAAATTGTATGCGTACAAACATGTATTCCATTTGTTTGTTCTTCTTCAAATATAAATCAAAATGCTTTCGGTCTTTTCATTAATCAATGATCGACTTAATGCGTACAGCTTTAAACGTTTTAAATTTTGAACTTTATTTTAAGTTGACCCCCTGTGGTTGACAAATTTCTTTCACAGTCATACTTTATACAAGAAGTCATATTTTGTTGATACAAAAACTGTAGACTTGTTTTAAAATCCGGAGGTTTGTTCTCTTGAGTTGATTAAATTAAAAAATAGATTTTTTGAACATCGGTAAAAAGTAAAATAACAAAAATACCGAACTCCAAGGAAAATTCAAAACGGAAAGTCTTTTATAAAATGGCAAAATCAAAAGCTCAAACACATCTAACGAATGGAAATCAACTGTCAGATTCCTGACTTGGTACAGGCATTTCCTTATGTAGAAAATGGTGGATTAAACCTAGTTTTATGGCTAAACTACGTTTGTAGACGAAATCGCTTCTGGCGTACAAAAGTTTAATACTGGTATCTATGATGAGTTTATTTGCCTCTCACTATGTTTTGATATATTGATAAATATTGGTCTTACAATCCTACAGCTCTCAGTTTTCCTGATGCAGATTAATCCAGGAATAGTGTATTACACGAAGCTACATTTGGAATTTAGACACATCGTTAGTTGTAGTTGGTGAATTAATAGTATTTAAAACTATCTACAAACACATATACTTTAATGAGATCACAACAATAACATTCAAATTTTGATATATCAATAAACAACAACGTTTTAGTCCACTAATTTATGTGGGTTATGTTTGATACTTTTTCTAACCAATGAGGATGATGTGTCATCCATGTCCTCCGTAACTGTATGCATTGATGAACCATTCCGGTGGTAAAACTTTTCTGACATTGTAAATTGTCCAGCCGGATATAAAGCACGAACATGATACATTCTTGTCCGAATTCTCTTACAGGGTGCACATGGACAACAACAAAATGCACGTACAAATCCTTGTCGGAATCTGAAATACACAATTTTCGATTTATTTATTTTACAGAAATGCTTCATGCAAGAATAAAATAAATTTCAAAAAAATGTTTCAGCTCCTTAAGACAAGTTTTTGTCACATTATAGCTGTCGCCTGTATTACACGGATAACACCAACAACAAATTACTCTGAGATACTGTATAACTGAAAGGAAGGGGTAGGTGAGTTATAATACCTGGTTCAACCAATGATTTTCACTCGAAATAGATTGTTCGAAGATATGACAAGAACATTCAATAATCAGCTGTTCTAATGAGGATTTGTTTAAAACATTTTTTCAACAAACACAACCTGTAAATATTGACATTGTTTTTAGAATATACCTTGAACGAAGTTAAATACATTTTGATATTCTCTATTCGGTTATACATTCAACAGAAGTGCAAAGCTTTATGGTTGCTGCATTGCCAATTAAAACAAGATTTTAATTCTTTTGAGACGTAGATTTTATTTCATTAATGGATTTGATATAAAATGACTGATATAATTATTGTTTTACTTCACATTGACAGTTAGATCTGTGAATTATTTCATACAACTGAATCACTTAACGATTGCAACCACTTTTTTATTTTCTGATTCACATGGGGTTATTGTTTTCCAATATTTGTTTCAAATCTAACCATTTTGTGGATATTGTAAAAGTACAGTTTCACGCTGTTAGGTGTTTAATTATTCCAGTCAAGGCGAAATAATTCATTAACTGTCAAAACTTCAGTTTCGTCTTGGTATTAATTTCGTCTAATAGTCATTCTTCATTTCCTTACGATATTAATTGTTTATAATACACTTTCGGATTTTAAGTAATAAACAGAATAAAAAATCAGATGTTTCCGATCTATTATAGCTAGAAGTATATGTAAACCCGGAAGTTTAACATACTCATGTAAATTGTGACCTTTCTGTCTCTACATTTCGGAAGTAGCATTTGTATTAAAATTTAATACATTAAATGGTTCACTACCGAATTCATGAAAGTACAGCGTCAAGAAAGCAATGCGAGTTGTCATTGTCAATTGCTGTGACAATACTATGAAAAAAAATCACCATTATTGAGCAACATCAGTTCTTAGTTCAACATTGAAAAAGGTATACGTTCCTTTAGAAAACTTAATAAAATGTTTTAAAATACCCTATTTTAACTGATTTATTTGCGTAATTACTTTTTGCAATTGTCTGAAAAGTCTATCTTTATAAGATGTGCCAGTCAAATTCACATGCAAGAGGATACCTTTAGCTAGTTTATTTAGACAGTAATTTACCATTGTGTTAGGGAATTCTAAATCAATCATCGTTACAAGAAAGCTATATATACATGAGATAGGGCGTAATTAATGTGAGACAAAATTAATGGTACAGAGAATTTAATTATGGTGACATTTTAGATGTTCATGATTAAAGAACCAAAAATCTAACATATAAAAGAGGATAAAAATTACATGTAGGTGTCCTAATGAAGAAAGGCTAAACTTATATGGACAAGTTTTACTCTGTCGAAAACAGTGTTATTGTCTGTTAATTTTAATATCATAACTCGCTTAGCCATTTTGAAATGTCATGTCTTTGTATGAAATTTCTTGCAGAAGAGATAAATGTCTGATTTGTATGCTATATTATATTCATATCAATAAGTTCCATCTCGGTCTTTTCCCCAATAATAAAACATTTCACAAATGAGAGAAAATAATCCAAGAAAATAGTCTGGAGGCATAAATTTCACTCACTAATCCTTATATTATTGACGAAGACATAAAATCGCATACATTACATGACCAGCTATAACCAGTACATGTTCTATACAGTAGAAAGTGACATTAAAATATTTTACTAAAGACATTTTTCCAATAAATTTCAGACATTCCTTGTAAATAATGTAACTTTGTTACTGTTTTACTCATTTTGCTTCGTAAATTAAACTGAAGGATCCGAAAAGAGCATTGCTAATCTGGATCGACGATCAGTTGCAAAAATTGTCAATCTTCCATCCAGCTATTATACATATCTCCTTTAGATTGACAGCAATTTGTATTTAAGAGAATTTCATTTTTGTTTGTTGCAATTTAAAACAATTTTGATTTTTTATATGAATTAGAATAAAGAATGTGTTCTAAACGTCATGTTTTTCATCCGAATAGAATGAATTGAAAAACCTTGCAAATGAGACCCTTTTCATTACCAATGCAAAACAAGTTTAATGTAAAATATCAGAGAAGAATATGCAAATGTGTGACTTCCTGAGTTCAATGGTACCTGTGATTGCAACCTAATCAGCAGTAATAAAAAAAGCCTTACAGAGGACAAAACGCTTATTTAAGCTGAGATTGCAACTCTGTACTCCATTTTGATCTTAGATGGATTGTCCTCTTTTATTAAGTCTAATTGATTTTGATGCTCAAAAAACTATATTTTTATTGCCAGGTGTATAGAATTATGGTCATCTGGACTTATCTCATCCGTATGTTAACCAATGCATAATACGGGTGAACGTTTGTTTGTGTGGGTGTATAATTACGCAGTCAAGTCTGGCCGGAAAAGGTTCGGTTGCTCCGATAGCTTCTTTTGGAAGAGTGTCACGCTCTCTACCCGTTAAAACCCTTTCAACAACTCTTTTCAGGTCTCTTAGTGGCTTGAAAGGCATAATTTCGGCCCTATCCAATGTGCCCTCATTTTACGGCGGTTATCCAAGTTGCTTGCCCTTTGTCAAGGTAGATCCACTCTACAGAGCCTACCTATGATTTTAGATTTATTATTTATTTATCTTCTCGTCCTGAATATGAATGAAATATTTGCAAATAGACGTATAGAAAACAACACTATATTAGCATACTTTTACTTACATTAGGGTGTTCCACCTTAGTTTAAATACACTATATGAGCATACTTTTACTTGCATTAGGGTGTTCCACCTAAGTTTTAATACTTTAACTACTTAATTTATAAGCTGAAAATATGATATTAAATGTGTGATTAAAATTATTCATGGACTGGAACTTTGAAGATATCACATTTGTACCAGCAGTATAAACGTTTCAATACTATTTTATAATTGGAATCGGGGAACTCGGTGGCCGATTGGTCTAAGTAGTTCATCTTCATGTATCACTAGCCTATCAATGCTGATGTTGTGAGTTAGTACCCCGCTCTAGGCGGGTGCTTTCGACTTCAATCTTTATTGACGAGGATTGACAATTGTACTGCCGAAGGTCGGTGGTTCAATCCAATCACTCCGGCTTCCTTCATAAAAAAAAACATGATCGCTACGATAAAGCAAAGAGAGCTGAAAATGGATTAAACACCACCAATTAATCAATATAATGGGAATAACCGTAATACCAAGTAGCTATATATATGTACTTTTTTATATATTGAGGATGCTTTCATGTTGTGCTATAGAAAACATACAAAGTTACATTATATGCATAACATCATTTGAATTGTTTACAGAATATGTGTTTTAATAACACTATAAGTTCTGTCAACGATATATAACATTTTACATGAAAAAGTAAAATAACAAAAATACCGAACTCCAAGGAAAATTCAAAACGGAAGTCCCCTATTGAAAGACAAAATCAAAAGTTCAAACACATCAAACGATTGGAAAACAGCTGTCATAGTCCTAACTTGCTACAGGTATTTCCTTATGTAGAAAATGGTGGATTAAACTGGTTTTATAGCTAGGTAAACCTCTCACTTGTATGACAGTCATATGGAATTCCATTACATTGACAACAATGTGTGAGCAAAACAAACAGACATAATAGGTAAAAATGTCAAAAATTGGGGTACAGCAGTCCACATTGTGTTTAATTTTCATCACTATAAACGAAAATAACTATTTCAACAAAGAAAAACAAAATGGCATATAGACACTCTATAGACAAAGTACATAAGCAAAAATGAAAGACACGAATACAAAAATGGCAATTGACAATAACACAATTGCGGGATGTAAAAATACCTAGACACGCAAAAATTATATACCAAAATGGACTAAACAGTTAAGGTTAAAAATAGACAGACAAACAACAAGAACACTATAACATGTAATTAAGATGATAAACAACTTCAGTACCTTTAATCTATACTTCAAGACCATCATGTATTATTTGTGAAGTTGAGTATTTGTAAGAGCAAAAAAAATCTCAAAAAAGTATTTGCAGTTTATAAACGTGTTTGTACAGTAATGGAATAAAACAACGCCTCCAGCAAGATTTGAAAATTAAGAATCAAACTATTCCATTTTAAAATTGATTTTAGTGTAATAATGTCAATTGCGAAGTGTTTCTTTTAATTTACAATAGTAAAGCACAATTTAAAAGAAAATGACATTTTTTAGACAAATAATCTACAAATATAGAATACTTCAATTAACTCGTACGGTTTTTAATGCACCAAAACTTACATAAAGTAGGATATTGGTTTCCATATGATACTTCAAAGTACTTCAAAATGTCAAATATGCATCAAGTGCCTACTAAAGCTCTATCGGAAAGATTGTTCATATTAGCAAGATGCGAATAATTCATAAGCATGAAATGCAGACTCTATATCCAGACACAAATTCTCTTCACACTCTATATACTGGTATCTTTGAATGTCAACCGTTAATGTATCAGTATGTTTTCCTTAATTATATATAATGACAAATACACTTTGAAATTTGTCATTATATGTATCAACGTTTCCTTGAAATTTATCCGTTTAATTTGATTCATTCCAAGTCAAAACAAACATATACATATTGAAATAAATATTTTACTACAATCTCTAAGACAGATCATTGTTTGCCAACAATATAGTAATAATTTAAAGAAAGCAAAAGATGGAATGAAGATAAGTAAACTTACGGACAGGACAAATCAAAATTAGCTCAAATCTTTTGTTGCATAATCTTTATTTTTCTTGTGGTTTATTACTTAACAGAATGTTAACGGCTTTCACAAAAGCAAGATAAATGATTGTATAATAGTAATAGTCGATGATCTTCATAGAAGGTATAAATGTGGTTTATAGGATGTAGAATAGTGGGCAAAAACGTTAAAAAATAAAGAAAAGAGAATAATGGGTAAAAAAAATGAGAAAAATGGTCTAAAAAAGTAAAGAATACAGAAATGAAGATCCCTATCCCGACCTTATTTTTTATTTGTATTGTTAAGATGTCTATTTTCTCAGTTGTTGGTGATTTTCCGGTATGTCTAATGTCTAATGTTCGTTGTTATTCATGTAACCCTTTTATGTATTGTAAAATTGTATATTCGGGTTTTTTTATTAAAAGGAAGACATAATAGTATGCATGATTACTAAATATGAAGTAACGAGTTATACAGTAATTAAAAAAAAACCAAGACTGTAAACATCTCCAACAGTCAACTGAACTCAAACTGTTTGATAAATTACAGTAGACTCTGCCAAAACCAAATGTGAAAAATAATAAAATGTCGATAACTTGAATAAAAACTAATATAACAGGAAGAACAGTCCATTTACTAGACTACGATTTATGTATTCTTTTCAATATCGTATAATTAAAATGTTAAGCCGTACTTTTGTTCTATTCTTATCCTATTGGTCCAGAATTTAGCTGGAGTGCAATTTCCTACTGTAACATAAGACATTGTTTTGATAAAATTGAAACATTCAGTCTTTTAGTTTCCAGGTAAATGTCACATTGATTTAAAGACAGATTTTAGTAGCTTTAGAGCTTTGTTGTTTCATAATTCATGAAAACCAGTAAGCATAACGACTTTCCAAGTATTCCTAAAATAACAATTTTGATGAAACCTTATTTTTGATACGAGTATGTCAGGTTATTTTTTTCTTGGGGTTTGATGTTACTTATATTTACTTTTCAGTGAGAAAATGGAGTAAGATACATACCAAAGGAGAATCAAAACTCGAACAACTTCATAGCAGAAAACGAAAAACGACGAAAAGACAAACAAGTCTACAAAACACTACATTAAAAACTGATGACTGAGCACAAAATACTGGGAGTGATATGTGGAGTGTTTTGTGGGCTGTTGTTTGTGTTGTTTGTCTGTTCAACATGGTATTAATTTAAATATTTGTTTGCATGCTTATCATTTTTTCCAAAATCATACTGTTTTACAAGGAGTTTTTTTTAAGACGGAAAGGTATTCCGCTCACACCAGTGCTGGGGGCCGTCTTAAATTTGCAGTGAGGTGAAAGTTTTTCCTCCGTGTTAAAAGCCTCATTGTTACTTTGAGATGAAGAAGAGCAATAAAAACGCTATTCCTTTGCTTTTTGTGTTTTAGCTGTGAATTTTGTGTCATGAATGGAAACCCCGTATCCTTTCTTTTCTATTATGTTTCAAAACAATATACTACAACTGTCTTACAAACAAACTGGCGCAATAACAAATTAACAAACGAAAGAGTGTCAGAATTATGATGTCATATGACATCATAAGTGTTCTAATGAGTCAGAAGTTATTGATTTTGTAATTGTACTAAATTTAAATTTCACGGAATTTAAGGGTCGATATTGACTTTTCTAGATATTTTAGAACTTGTCATTCATGTATGCATGAGAAACGAAATCTTATTAAAATTATGTGTCTTGACTCAAGTGGACCTAATGAATACAAAATAAGCTTGCGCCAGTATTGCATTTATACTGATATAAATATATGAAAATATTGAACAATACATTGTAAACAATATAACTTTTTGTATATAATATACACGTAGACCATTATCATATTTCAAAAAATGATATAATCCGATGAGCTGCAACAGTACTATATATTTTTTTGTGAATTTCAAACTTTGTCATTATATTTATATCCCTAAATCTGAATTAAAAGAATATAGCAAAATAGATGAAATATTTGTCAATAAATTGTAGTTTTGAACAACATTCAACCTTTTCTCAGCAGAACATCAATACAGAGTATTTCTTATTAAGAGATTATGAAAGAAAATGATTTCATATTTGACAGATGACATATATTAATATTTAATACACTTGTATATGTTATTGCGATCCTTTTTTTCATTTATTGTATATGAAATAGCTTTATTTGTGAAGTCTGGAGACTAATAAACCCAACCAATAAATAAATAAATGATATAACATTGTCTATTATTGTTGATATTAATAAGTTGAAATTATAAATAAACTCATCATAGATACCAGGATTGAAATTTTGTATTTGCGCCAGACGCACGTTTCGTCTACAAAAGACACATCAGTGACGCTCGAATAAAAAAAAATTAAAAAGGCCAAATAAAGTACAAAGTTGAAGAGCATTGAGGACCAAACATTCCTAAAAGTTTTGCCAAATACAGCTAAGGTAATCTATTCCTGAGGTAGATTGACTGTAGTGTATACATGATACACCAGACGTGATTTCAGAAGGTTTTTTTGTGGTTCTGTCTTGATATAGAGTTTGAAAAATGAGCTAACGTTTACTTATTTAGAAACTAAGGTTTCAACTTCCTCAAGCAAAGTTTACCTTAGATGTATTGTCTATTCTTTTTAGTCACTTTTCGTTATATAGCTCTTGTCTTGTTTCGGTTCTTAAACATCAAATGCTGTACTATGAGCAAGGAAAGTAAGCATATAATTATACTTTTTTATGACTCATTAGCCAATAAGTAAACGAAAACAATAAAAGGAGATTTGGGATATATATCAAAGAGACAGCACTCCAAAGAGACGCATCTAAATTTCAGAGATCTAAAAATACTGACTAATAATCCATGATGCTTAAAACCTGTTCTTCACAAAAACATTTAATTTTTTTTTTTATTTTGACAATAATTCAAACAAAATAAGAATATATTACCAAGCTCTTTTTTTTTAATTTTTACTGTTAACGCAAAATTCTTTTCTTATAGGGAAGTATTCGACATTCACAAATATTTCAATAGAAAGAAAACTTTACAATAAAAAATTTTAATGTAATTTGGAGATAAAGTTGACTACTGTACTCCTATTTTTGACATTTTTTCCTATTATGTCTGTATGATTTGTTCACACATTGTTGTCAATATAATAGAATTTTATGCGACTGTCATACAAGTGAGAGGTTTGGCTAGCTATAAAACCAGATTTAATCCACCATTTTCTACATAAGGAAATGCCTGTTCAAAGTCAGGAATATGACAGTTGTATTCCATTCCTTTGATGTGTTTGAACTTTTGATTTTGCCATTTGATAAGGGACTTCCCGTTTTGAATTTTCATTCGAGTTCGGTATTTTTTTATTTTACCTTTTATGAATTAAAAAAAATAAGAAAAATGGGGACAAAGTTATTGCTTTCTTACCGATATATCCTGATAATTCTACAGTGCAATCGATAATCAAATTTTATCATTCGAGTTACCTTCCACAATAATTCAAGTTCTTCAAGTATATCTATCAACTGAATATTTATAACTAGAATACACCAATGAGACAACAACTGCACTTACAAGTAACTTAGATCTAGAAAACTACACAGTACAATGTATCTTAGTGTCCATACAACATGCCAAGCTCTTAATCGTCTCGAGTCTATTGAATCAAGCAGAAGGTACATATATCGAAGGGAAATCCAAACTCATAAGTTGAAGACAAACTGACACCTCCATGGTAAAATAAGAAAAACGATGAAAAGAGAAATAACAGTCTACATAACAAGAACGTAAAACATTAACTTAACAAAAACTAGCGGTGTTTTCCGGAAGTGTAGGCAGATCCTGTTCAACATGTGGCACTCGGTGTTAAGTATCATTCGATGATGTCACGTTCGAATGGAAAAGGACGGGATTGTGGTTACGTCTAGTACAACATTGTGAAACAAACCTTCCATAACGGTCAACAAACTGTTGATGGCATCCATAACATCTTCGAAGGGATCACTTCATCTTTACCACAAGCAACCCTTGGTTTATTAGCTACCTTATAGGCAGCACTTCCAATTAAGGAAAGCATCATAGGAAACTGCTGGCTTTCCAAACATTACGGAGGTAGACCTTCGTAAAGGGGTGCAACTCTTAAAAATGACTGGTTACGTTTGTGTCAAAACTTTCATTATATATTCTAAGCTTTGATGTAACACTAATTATTTTAATTCTCTTTCAATGAAAGCTTATAAAGCACTAATAGAACTGCCTATTACAAACGTATTATTGACCTAAAGTGCTATCCCACTTAACCTAGTTTACTCCTTAAGGTGCAACGCAATTCTGATGCTGCAAAATCCTTAAAAGCGTTTCGACCACTTCTTAGAGACGACGGCTATGTTTTAAGGACGACAGTCACGTTATCGTACATATTTTCATAAAAAGAAGAATATAGTATGTAAACTACTTACTTTGCGTTCATCCAACAGTAGATGATTGGGTTGTACATTGAATTACTCATGGCTAACCAATAAATGACTAAATAGAACTCCTGTATATACTTCATCCGTGTTATATTAGTAGTAGATACTAAAACAAAGTATAGATGGTATGGTAACCAACAGATACCAAATATTATGATGACCATTACCATCATTTTTACAACCTGCAATTGAAAAAAAACATCTATAGAGATATAGGGAAAAGCAATTAAATTACAGGCATGCACTGCGACGGAGTACCATCGACAATCGAAATTTGTCGGTACCAGAAAGTGTATAACTGTTGAGTTTAAAAAAAAAATTAAACAAAGAGTTTAAACGATTTTTCGAAATGATAAATAAAAGCAGCATAAATGAGAAAATAAATTCTCAACGTTTAAGCTCAGCAAATCGATAGAAATGGTTTGAATAAAAGGAAATCATATCTTCTTGGTATTCTTCGTCCTGACGCTCAGCTTCAGATGAAACAATTTCCGATGGCAATGAGACACAATGAAGTGGTTAACACAGTTATTACAAAGAAAGAAGAAAAGGATAAGTAACGATTATCAAGTTGTCTGCATATTGATAATGTAAAATATCAGCTGCGAGACACAATATAAAGCTTTTTGACGAGTGATCGCAGTTCAGAAAGGCTTTAAATTGTGTCTAGCAGCTGATATTTTATATATCAATATGCAGACAACCAGATAATTGATTCATCGGGTTGCATTTGCGTATTTTGCATGATAGAAACAAGTATTTTCTTTGTTTCACCAGCAAACCGGAAGATGACTTAATAAGTTCGGGTCAAACTTATCAACGTCGGTTCATTCATTATGACGTCGGTGATATGTCCGGGTCAAAGTTATTAAGACCGGCTCAACGTATTTGACGTCACAAAGCCGTCATATGCAATTTTATTAAGAGCTGAGCAGAGTGATACAGACAGAAGGACAACCGATAAAACACCAGTATCAACTTCGCTTACGTCAGGTATTAACCTTGTGTATGTCAGATATATTGTGACAACGTCAGGTATCAACCTCGCCTATATCATGTATCAGTTTCGTCTACGTTTGGTATCAACATCGCCTACGTCAGGAAATTAATTTTACCTACGCGAGATTGAACCAAACTTTAAGTTATTGAAATAGATTGGTATCTAGGAATCAAACGTTTATGGAAATCACTCTTGCAAATCATTCAGTACCGAAAAAGTTTTTTTTATTGTAAAACCTACCCGTCTTTTTGATTTCATCCTTTCAAACTGCACTGGTGTATTTTCGCCTATTGTTTGTTGACCCCAGAGTTCGACACCAATTCTTGTGTAGGTTACTGTCAGTGTTGCCATTGGAATCAAGTATGTCGCAAGCAAAATAATGATATTATACCTGAATAAAAATAATATGTTGACTATCAATAACCAATAATATACCATACATTTTATCGTCGTAATCTGAACCCTGTTGAGAGTTGTTTCATTGGCAATCATACCACATCTCCTTACTTCTATTTGGTTCATAAACTGTTGTGTTCCATACGCTTTGTTCGTTATGTTGTGTGTGAAATACAACATATATTACGTCAGAAAGTTCTTAGACTGTATCGTGGCAATTAATGGTACTATATAATAGATAAAAAATTCTCCTAGAACAAGAACAAAAGACACAAGTTGCACATGAATCATAAGACCAACCGCTGTTGTGAGAAAGGATATTGACTACCTTAAGATGAAGATCATTAATACAAGCACTGTTCGTTTAATATTTTGACCATTTCTTCTACTGAGGTTGTTGTCCCATGTAAATATCCTCCAAATATGGTTATTTTTTCGATACAATAATCTACAATCAGAGTCGTGCTATTATGAAAAAAATCGAAAACTTTCTATGTACGAAAGACTGGTTTCAAGACTGAGGAATCTGTCTATTTTTAGAACTTAAACCTAGATTTTGTCAGCAGCAGTAATGAAACTGAAAAGGAGTTTCTTTGACAGTTAAAAATCACATTTCTCTGAAAGTGTTCTATTTTAAGTATACATGGACATTAATATAGATGTAAAGGCACAACAACAAAAACGTGTATACGTTTATATGCGAATAAAGATAGTGATCTCTGGAAATATAAATATATCTATAGAGAACTAAATATAATTATTTGAGCGTTTCAAATCAGTATACTGAGATATTTATACATGTCAATCTAGTTTATGTCATATATGTGTATATATTTTGTTTATTCATTATTTTTTGTAATGGTACCTTTGTGCGCATCAAATGTATAAAAGAATTAATTGAATAAAAGTCTTTTTAACAACAAAATATTCTGATTCAGTAACTGTATGGTACTTGTATTGTCGTTGTCCTTTCAGTCTATAGAGTTCGATCTGCAATCTATGTCCGTTTGTCTGTGGGCGTTTAATTTTCCAACTGAAACAATCAGTGTGATTGTTGCATGACTGTTTCTTTAAATTAATCAACAAAGCCATAGCAGTCTAATTTCCGTTTGCATGGAATGTAAACAGCAAATTAAAATGCCCTTAGATTGAATAAATTCCCATTGCACCTAAATTTCAATTTCTCATGTTGACATTTTGTGAAAACGAATGTTTATTCAAAATCCGTTCGCATTAGCTTTCAGAAAGAAAACAAATAAATGACATGTTTTCTCCCAAAGGAAGTTGCTAAGTTCATATTTCCTCAACTCAGAATACAAAATAATGTTCATTACGTAACACTCTAGCGTCCTTTAATGTGTCAAGTAGATATGTTACAGTAGCATACCGATTTCACTTCCTTGTAAAAGAGCATGCAGAGAGGCATAAAAAGTAAAATAACAAAAATACCGAACTCCATGGAAAATTCAAAACCCTTCTCAAATGGCAAAATCAAAAGCTCAAACACATCAAACGGGATGAGAATATGTGCATCAGCACAGAACCTATAAATGTATCTCAAGTTACATGTACTATGTGTAGTGAGTTAAAATTGGGCTTGAAATATTTTCTAAAAGTGCTCTTCAATTGTTTCGGTACTTATACATCCCTCGGATTTCAAATGTTTGGCTTTGAGCGTTCCTGATGAGGGTAAATCCAGAAAAGCGCTTCGGACGCATGAAATTATTAAACGTGTTGTTTTCTATTTTTTACATCACTGGGTCGATACCTCTGCTGGTGGACTATCAGTCCCCGATGGTATCATCAGCTCAGTATTCAGTACTTCGGTACTGACATGATTTATAACAAACCTTTCTAAAATTGTCCGTTGTTAAATTTTGAAATTATAAAGAAACTAAGTTTTCAACTCCCTCAGGCAATGTTGACCTTAGATGAATTTGGCTATTTGTTTTAGGTATTTTTGTCATATAGCTCTTCAATATTTTCGGTACTTATACATCCCTCGGATTTCAAATGTTTGGCTTTGAGCGTTCCTGATGAAGGTAAATCCAGAAAAGCGCTTCGGACGCATGAAATTATTAAACGTGTTGTTTTCTATTTTTTGTCATCTTTGCTCGAAATCAAGCTCTGCACTGAATAGTTGTGGTACAATACTACGTCATTTCCCCATGATGTAAAAACCTGTTGTCTCATCGAGAACACTGTACCCATTTATTTAATTTCAAGTTTAACAATAAGAAGAGAGTGTATGAAGGACAAAGAGACGACTATAAACTAAAGACCAATGGACAAGCATATCAACAAGTCATATGTCTAAATGTAAATACTTTAATATATATTACACCATTATAAAGCACGTTTGGGGGTCAATTCTGTTTCTGGCATACAGTACATACCGGAAATTTTTGTTATTTGATCGGAAACACGAATAGAATGTACACGAAAAATTGAAGCATGCAAAGGTGTATTGAACCTAAATTAAATAAAAGAGCAGATTTTCATTATTCATCTCTTACATATTTGGTGGTGACTTTCTTTACAACCACATCCTTTTATAGACTAACTTTCAATTAAATATGATGAATTATTATATCATATGTAGGCTGTAAAATGACAAAAACTACGTCAATTCTCAGTGCCATTCTTTCAAAAAGATCGTCATACTTCTTCGAATACGTCATAATATAATAGAATTCGCAATACACATGGAGTTTTCAATTTGTTTTGTATATTTTAACAATAAATGCCGTTCAGAAAATTGTTTCAAATAACAGTAGGAGATGATCATATTTGTATAGTGATTTGCATTAAATTTGATCTCCCTTATACTTTATAAGGACGATGTTATTTAGTAGTTTACAATTTACTTTAGTTTTTATGATTCTACAAAGTTGTAAGATTACTATTATACTGCTATACGCTAGACAAGCTTAATATCATGCTGTTTGTGTTTCAATAAGATAAGGAAATAACTGTGTTTGTAAAAATCAAATATTACTAAGTTAGAATAAATTAATTGACCGAAAATACTACAGTTAACAAAAAAGTAGGTGAAAAACAATATGAATACCTTACCAAAAATCTATCCTGCTATTAGTCGAGTTGCCATCTGGCCATTCAAATGTACAAATTTCAGTGTAGTTAAAGTTCACTGTAGTTGAGTATATCAAATTTGGAAATGACAACACTGTAGAGGCAATCCAGATGACAATAATGGCGACAATTACTCTTCCGGTAACTCTAGGTCTCAGTGGGTGAATAATTGCCATATACCTGAAATAAAATTTAAGAAAGTTTAATAACAAAGGCACTAGGACAAAAGCAAAGACAACTGCTCTGATCCACCAAAAAGGTGCCGCAAAATTGCAATGTATTTCTCTGATCCCTTCTTTCAACAGAAAACAAATGAAACGTTTTAGGTCAATATTTAAAATTTTGACATTTAGATATTCAACTTCCTAGTTTATATAAAGGGTATGAATGTTGAAATCTCCAGAAGCTTTTTTGAGTACGGTGTTGCAATGAGAGGGTGGTTCTTGCAGAAATATCTCTTTAGTTCTATCGTAATAGTATGCTTTGCCTATTCATTAAAAAGTTAAGATGCATACATGTACGAACTAATTTTGATTCCTTTGTGTGTGTCTTCTATCAACACGTACAGTTGTCTTCTGAAAAATGTGTAACAAACGAATGGAGTTACTGACTGGCAGTTTCCAGACATTTCTTTTCCGTCATTTTTACGTCGAACGGAAGCAAACATTTCAATGCATATAATTCTTAACATTTTATAGCATATACACATGACGATAAGAATTTGCTGTTTGTGTGAAATAACATTACATGATCTTTTTGAGATTAAGTGCACTTTCTGTTAACATTACATCTCAAGAACAACAGTATAAACAAAAACAAGGATACCTTTCAAAAGTTCGATTAGTTAAACCATTCTATACTGAATGATTTGATTATCTGATATCCTTTTTAATCTGATTATAAGATTGAAACATACAAAACCATCATCAATTCCAACTGGAATGTTTTTAAAGAAAATTAAAAGAATAACTGGAAAGGTTTCTTCGTTAATCTCGTTAAACTGCGTGAACCGGAACGTAAAAGAATCTTGTACTGCATACCGCCTACGGTATCGTCTCGCAAATTATTCGGTTTCTTTTCATTTTCTCTGTTGGGCTTTTACGGGTTTTGTAATTTAGACTAAATCCTGCATAATTACAAAGTGCATGCCGTGTTTACAACTGTGACGAATACTTTGAAATCAGAGAAAGAGAAATATAGATTAATGATTTGGCGACATCTTGCAACGTGTTCACATTACCTTTAGAGTTAAATTTATTGTCAAACGTACATGTAAACGAACTTACAAATAAAATGATTAAAGGCACGATTTCAAACACAGAGATTAACTTGTAATGATAAAGAAATTGAATCAAAACAAAAAAGTTCTATTCAACAACTTTGTTTGGATGAAACCACATTTTCTCTAGTATTTCTTTTAGCTGATTTTAACAAAATACTCGCGGTATTTTTTTTTTTCTTTCATTTATATATTTTTGCAACAGTTGAGACGCAATCTTAAGTTTTCATAAAATATTTCATTACATGTTGTAACTATAATTATTTGATTGTGAATTCATTTACATGTTACTGAAATCTAAAATCAGAAATTTCTTATAATAAGTGTTCCTAAAAAAGGAGGACCAATAAATCGTGTTTAATTTACCAAAAAATATTGGATAAGATATTTTCAGAAAGCTGGAATTTCATTGTGGCAATACATTTATGGTTTTTGACAGAATTGAAACAGACTGTTATCTGGCATGACTCTTTGATAATGCATCAGTATAAATATTTACTTTGGAACGGTTTAATTAAAGCAGAAGTATACAAGTCAAGTCCTATATTGTCTTTTTATTCCTTATTGACGATGCTCTGGTCTTAACTATTCATCAGCGCAAGAAAAGTAAATGTAATATGATGCCATGGTAAATATTTTTATATAATGACATTTGATAAATAGAATCTGGTTTCAGTCTCTTGAATGAATATATCGTTTTATGGTTTAATAAAAGTTGACTTTTATGGGATTAATCCGACATTTTCATATTTTTCACTCGAGTATTTTATGTCTTTCTTCAATGAATGGGGCTTTGACCATTATTGACCGTATGGTGACCTATAGATGTGTAAATGAATCGTCCTAAAGTGATCGTCCTGAAAAGTTTGGAAGACATTTAACACAGTTTGAGTAATGTCACCTTATTTTCACACTAGAACAGTAAACTGGTGATTATTCTATCTCTGAAAAGGACAACATTGCATCTTTTTTAAAACGCCTACACTAGATATAACTGCAATGGCATTAACACGTTTCACGTATATATCGTAAATGGATAATCTTTTAAAGACCGTGGACATAGACTGCAGTATGCGTACAAACGTCTAGACTGTATATTAGTATTTATCAAAACTACATGAATATCACGACAGCTCATTTCTTTTAATAAATGTCAGGACGAGGTGTTTTTTAAAAGTACTATGTGGATAAAGGCGTTAAAAATGATAATCACTTCCGAAATCAACCTTAAAAGGAATCAATTTGTCAGACAATTTCAGCCAACGTCATGACGTTAGGTGTCAACTCGATTCAATTCCGTTCACCTTAGTTCTGTTTAAACTATTTAGTGATAATATTGCTTTAATACCTTTTTATTTGAATTACCATGAGGTTTTAGAGGAAGGCGGTGTTGTAGGAATAAAGTTTATTCGATTAACTTTTATTCGTTTCACAGTAGATTAATACTATAACATGTATTTTCTATTATAGGAATACACATTGTATATTGCTTTATCAACACATAAAGAAGGTAGCTGTGTTTTGCTTTTTTTTTTTTTTTTAAGATCTTATTTCTGCTGTCGTTTGGAAGTTCCCTCATATATAAGACTACACGTATTTCCATTTTAACTTTGAAGAAACTTTATAGTTTTTAAATGTTTCTGTCTCCCAGTGATTTTTTTCGGTCATCGTTGTAAAAGGGAGACTCTCTTCGCTGTGACTCATTTTATGTTTAACAAATGTAAAACAAATCGTTATTTCAAAATGTGCTTTCTTTGTAAAAATACAAAATGAATAGGAAATTGAAAAGAAGAATTTATAAATAGCATGTTATAGACGAACAGCGATATTGTTTTCTTACGCTTACATGTATATCAATATTAGCATGTTGCAAATATCACAATGTGTTTTTTTCTGATAGTGGTATTTGATGTTTTCTTACTGGCTTTCCACCACAGCAGGTTTTAATCAGTATAGCCAATTTCTTTTTGTTGCAGGTTCAATGAATACCATTTAGTAATTGATTATCAGATAAATAATCTCACTTTATTTACTTTGTGCTGCGTCTTGTTGATACAGGAACATTTGTCTATGTAGAACGTGTATTCGCTGATATGATGGTCAGTAAATAAACAGATCAATTTATGATATTAGAAAAACATGTTAAAAGTCAAATACAGTTATGATCCGGAAATAATTTTGAAAAGTATATGGAAGAATCAAATATCTCAGATAAAAACAACTAGTGGGTCTGGCTGAATAACCTACTCTACATTTGTATATTCCGTAAACTACATGATAAAATATATCAATCAGCAAGCTTTATTGACAATAAATTTCTTTATAATTTCATTGGTATGTCTTCATGCAGGAGTTATGATAAACAGTGAAAAATAAAAACAAAACACATCATCTCTTCAAGCGGTAGGTCGCGAGTAATGATTTCAATCGATGAAAGCTGTCATGTAAACAGTAACATGGTAACCTTTAGATATATCCTTCTTTAAGTTTATTTATTTATTTATAAGAATGAAAACGGTTTATTTATAATATGCGATATATTAATATAAACATCTGGTCGGCCTCAAAGATAGACCAGTTTGAAGTAGTTATAGAATTTGAAAAGGAAAATGAGAAAGAAAAGAGGAAAATACATTAACATTGTTTTCTGTCGATCCTTTTTAAAAGTTTTAATCCAGTTTGTACGATATATCTTTTTACAGCTGTTTTACGCATGTACATGTACCATCTGAAGAATATGTTTCCGTCATCTATTGTTTTTATATAATCAACAATTGCAGATGTTTTGAAATTTATTAACCGTTCGAATGAAAACACAAGACCCTACGAATATATACTTGAAAACTGAATACAATGTAGTGTGATTATTTAAATAGAAACATACACATGCATAGTAACTAAAAGTGTAAGTACCATTACATAGCTTATGGACTCTATGCGACTTCAATTTTAAAACTTTTGTTGTCCACGACCCCAGCTCCCAAAAAAACAAACAAAGGAAGTGTTACAACAAATATTTGAGAGACTTGTAGGTGACCTGCTGTAAGCCAAAAATTCGGTTCAAGTTCATTTTTCTAGTGGCGGTCGTAATTTCCTTCCTTCATCCCGGTCGACCAAACTTTTGTATTTACTGTAAATGTGTTCTTGTCCTTAATATATATGTAATATCTGCCACAAGATGATATGCAAACAATAACCAACGGATTCAGTTTAACATATCTTTGTTATTCTCGACGTGTAACAACAGACAGTCTTTTTGCATTTAATCACATACATAAATTTGGTCATTTGTAGTACACATGTTTATCTTTATAAAAGCCTGTGACGTGGACAATAATTATATAATTCATGACTAGAATATCTGTATATGTTCAGTAAATACAATGATAGATTTGAAATACCAACGACGCAATTGGAAGCATAATGCAATTCATTACATTAACTAAATCTAACCACATGGGACCCAATTTGATTTCTGTGTTATAATTTGTTTTTGTCATTTTTTCCTTTCGAGTTCCAGACACCTTTGGGGATACTTTTCAACGAATATAAGATAGTGCTTTTTAGTTTGCTTTTGGGTACTATACATACATTTGGCGACAACGCATTTAAAATCTATTACAATATATTTTTCCAACACCTATTTGGCTGCCTTTTCCATACGTTCGTAGAACTAAGATTAACTGATGTTTATAACTGAAATTAGACAGAAATCCAGAAGAAACCTTTTCTAAATTATTTGTGTAAAATATTAATTGTTTACGTTTTCTTTCAAAATGTCTACCAAGTTATGGTATACGAATGACGATTTTCACAAACATAAAGGCGGAAGTCCTATTTGTCCATTGTATAGCGGTGTTTTTTTCTTTTCTAAATCTATTTCTATTGACAAAAATGATGG